TGGTGTTTTATTTTCCTCTGTGTGGAAAAATAGAAAAAAATGTCCGTACTGCTTAGATGATGAGTTGGTGAGGCATTAATTGGCCCCCATCAATGGACAAATTTACCTGCTAGCCATCATGGGAAGGTAGGGAAGAAAGGGCCTGCAACATCCCAAGTCAGGCTCCAAGGAGAAAGACTTTTAAGGGCTTGTTTGACAAAAGTTCTTTATCTTCCTTTCTCAGAGCCTACACTGAGGCTCTGCGTAGACATGCTCAAAATGATTCAGGGAGAGCTGCATGCCACCTGCTCTGGAGATAACTGATACAGTGGAGTGAATGTGGTCTTCAGGGTCCGAGAGACTTGGCTTGACTCCCATATTTATGAGTTCTATGCCCTTGGGTAGGATGTAGACTCACAGAGCTTCGGTTTGCTCATCTGTAATATGAGGTATCACCCACCTCCCAGCACCATGTGTTTCCATGTTCATTGCGTGTGTCCCCCTGAGTTAAAGGGAAACTCCATGAGGTCTCTCTTATTTGCCTTTATATAGTTCTAGACTTGTGACTGTTGTGTGGTAGGTGCTCAACAGATACCGGTGACTGGCTTTGTGTTTTAATTACTTGACATGTCCAAAATACCAAGTGGAATCCCTAGCACAGAGTGGGGACAAATGGATGCATAAGAGCTCATCTTACTGACACACGTCTGAGAGGTCAGAAAGACCTCAGGAGAAAGCTCAGGTATTGTCAGTAGAATTATAAATTAGAAGAAAATATACTAAACCAGAAGGAATAGATAGTTGTTTTTTTTTTGTTTTAATACTAGGAATGACATATCAAAACACGAGGGAACTAAGGAACAGAGAAGAGAAATACAGGAGATTCGTGCTTTTGTTGTGCTTGTTAGTGAATAACAGTAACCACAGAGCAGGAAAAATCTAGAGGTGTGACCCTTCTGAAATTTGAGAGTCCATATATTCTTTTGCTCAAAAACCTTTAATGAGCACCTGCTAAATGTCAGATACTTTCTCAGAAGTAAAAAAAGCTCCAAGAGGTTAGGGATGATGTCTATTTCTTTGGAGAAGATAGGGGAATAGAAGGACTTTCTCTCCATTCTGAAAACTGCTTCATCCTTGAAAGGTCTATTTTAAAATTCTCATCAGAAACCGTGAGACTTACCTGTTATGGCTAAGGCCTTAAAGTTTGCAGGAGTAACTCGCTTCCTGAGTTGTCTTTCAATATACTGGACAATAGTCACCTATAAGGATTCGGTTGCAGAGAGAAAGACTTAAAGGTTCAAGTCAGGGCCCAAAACTGCCAACTGACCCTTTTCACAACTCCTTCCAGAGCTGACAGTGTCATCCAAGCAGCTCCTGTGTTACAGTAGCGAGGTGAGGGAGCTCTTCCAGTGGTATCCTGACAACGACAGGAAGCACAAGCCAAACCCATCAGACGGGGAATGAACCAGACAGATACTGTAATGAGAATGGTCAAATGCCCAGAGCACCTCATTCACAGAGTCAGGTTCTAGCTTAAGTCATAGGTTAAAAGTTGTTCCCATTAGTGAATTCTCAGCCACTCCTAGACTACAGGCTTTTGACTCCTTGATTCCTGGTTGTATGATCTTCACTGACTGCAGAGGAGTCTGCTCATCACAGACCAGAATTCCCCAGCTGGAAAGAGACAGAGGTACCATCATTAGGAACACACCCCCTGCTTCCAGCTTCTTCTGAGGAGTTGAATGGTCCTTTGCATGACTCCTTTAAATCAGTGCAACTTCTAAGGGAAGTGGAGAGTTTGGAAGTGGTGGGCCTTTGTTCTGTCCTTTCAATTAGCATCAGGTAAAAGAGTTTATAAGGAAGACTACATGGCTTCTACCTTGTCATGGGCTATGCACATTGGCTTTTATAATGTGAGCATTTCAACCAAAACCATAGTGAAATCTGACATTGACAATCTCCGGAGCCAAGATACTAATGCTTAATCTTTAAAAAAAAGACAGCATAAATTAGTGACCAGATTATAGCCTTCAGAGTCAGACTCTAAATCTAACTGGCCTTAAGTAAATTACCTAAACTCTGTGAACCTCATTTTCTGTATTAGTAAATGGACATATTAGTATCTTCATTATCTTTTTTGTGGAGCTAAACTTCCAGTAGGCAATCAAACTTTAGTAGGTACTCAAAATAATTTATGTTAATTTTTATTTTTAAAGAAAAAACAGAAATGAAAGTAGGGCATCTAAAAGGTTAACAGTATTTCTTCTTCCTTTTGAAATAAAATTATTTCAAGCAAATTGGAAAAAATCTTCACTTTTATTCTAACACCATAGAGATGCTGTAATTTATAAATTCAAAATGAAATAGCACTACATGTAAAGTGTCAGAGCAATTCATATTACTAAGGTTCCAAGACCTGCAGTTCTTACCCTCTTTGACTTGTTCATCACACTCACCTACGAAGGAACATTTCATAGCAGTTCAAAGTTCCAACAAAGAACCATGAGATAATTGAATTTCATGCAACTTCATTTCTAACCAGTTCCAGCTCCAAGTTTAGGGAAGGGAAGAGTAATGCCAACACATTCTGTAAACGATCAACATCTGAAACAGATTCAAATCAGAACCATTTATCCAGGGCTTGCTATAGACTGGAAGCAAATAAGGTATAGTATCTCCCTGCCAGGAGATGAAAAATATAGTGGGAAATATAACAGGCAGGTTAAATATGTGTTCCATCAGTCCGAGGGTGTTCCATATTCCCTGATCACACAATGTCAAAATAAGGGGTAGAGATAAATGATGCCCAGTGTAGACCAGCAGTCCTTCCAATGTTTTTCTTTTCCCTATCTGGGGTCAGCTAATATTATGACCTGCATAGAGACAAGGTTATGGCTACTCTGATTCATTCTGTTGCTCTTGGTGCCTAAAAGGAGAAGTGGGCTCTAGGGGGAAAGGGGGGAAAGGTCTATGTGGCTTTCTGTGTCATTTGCTGTTTTTCCTACCTTTTTCATTGTTTGACAGAAAAAGGGACTCTTCATTTGAAGACAATTGGGTCCAAGAACATAATGTTCATATTTGCATGTTGGAATATACATATTGTTTGTTTTGTTTCTGTTTATCATGTTGGGCTTTTTTTAGCACAATAGTGCATGGTTAAGAAAGCTTCAGGCATGTAAGAGCAATCTAATCTTGTTGTAAATATTAACTTTGCTGAATCAAAACTGTCCCTTCCCTCGAACCCCTAAATTCTAAGAAGCAAGTGGAAATAACTACACAGAGATCCTCAATGGTCTTGTAAACATATTTTTGTGTAGGTTTTTATTGACCTGAATAAAGTTTCTGTAAACTTTTTTTTCTACCACTTTTATAAGATGAATTCAGTTGTTTTGAAGTGAGTGTTAAACCAAAACCACCTGCAGCAATATGATATAATGGATAGAAACTTAAGTACGTTAATCTCCTTAGTGTTTTACCATCTACAAGAGGGCATCTTCGGAACACAAATATACACATACAACTGCTGAAGTCATACATGTTCAATGCAGGAAATTTGATAAAAACCAAGGAATAGAAAGGAGAATCAAAAGTTGTGATTTTATTACCTGATTTAGCTATTGTTATACCCAGCTCTTTCTCCCCATGCCTGAAGTTCAATCATCAACTCAGTTAATATGTTATGTAGTGCCTCCTCTGTGCTAGGCACTTGGGAATACTTTTGGAAGCACGAAATGCTCTTGATCATTTCAAGGCTTTTTTTAGGATGGGGAAAGATAGAGGTGAAATATACAAAAATTATTTTTTCATTTATTGTAAGTGCTGTGCAAGGAAGTCATGGATGGCATTTTAGGACATGATATTTGAACTTCTGATGAATGAGAATTAATCATCAGAAGGGGCTCAGAGTGGGGTGGGTACAGTCTTAAGCAAATGAACTAAATAAACTACATATTGTATTATGGTCTTTATTAAAATCTTCCCGTATCAGTATTCTTTTATAGCATAGGGTTTATGCAATTTATACAACTAATCTTTTAAGATATATTTTAATAGGTGCACAATTAAGAAATAACGATGCGCTTCATTCTTGTGCCCACAGACTTAACAACTTATGAGATGACTACTTTAGGATAAACTCAAATTCATAGGAGTGAACTTGTTTAGTCAAAAAACAAACATGTTTTAAAAGATTCTTTTAAAAAAGCATATTGCCAAATTCACTCCAGGAAGATGTACTCATGTACTCTCCCACCAAAATTCTATGGGAGAATCCATTTCTCCACCCTTTCAGTAACCCTTGGTATTAGTCCTTCTAATTCCTGCCAATTTGATTGGCAAAGAGGGAAAAATCATTTCACTGTTTTCATTGGCATTTCTTTGATTTCTAGTGAGATTCAACATTAAAAAAATATTTTGGGGCTGCCTAGGTGGCTCAGTTGGTTAAGTGCCAACTGTTGATTTCGGCTCAGGTCATGATCTCAGGGTCGTGAGATCGAGCCCCATGTAGGGCTCCTCACTGGGCATGGAGCCTGCTTAAGATTCTCTCTCCCTCCCCCTCCGCTCTCTCTCTAAAAAAAATTTTTTTTTGAATTAGGCAATGACATTAGCTGGTTAGTTTTTCAGATTCTGAAATATACTGAAACAATGAAGAGAAGTAACAATGAAGGGAGGGGTTCTGATTTCTGTTTTTACTATGCTATTTTTGGCCTGCCGTGGAAACAGCCTCTAAAGTAGGGGACATGGATACACAAAAATTGGAGTTTTAGTACTTGAAAAAGATTTTGTGAAGATCTCCAAATGAGAAATGTTTATTATAAATGCCATGATTTTTAAAAATTACAGAATGTCTTTATTATTACCCAAATTCCATACCACCTATAGATTCTAATAAAGAAAAGACTTTTATGAAGACTAGTTAAAAATACAGTCTCTACTCTTTCCAAATGTTGCTGATACAATATCTATGAATGATTTCTTCAAGTGATAATGCTTTTTTTTTTTTCCTTTTTTCTTTTCCTAAGGAAAAACTGGTCTACTTCCTGGATTGTTCTTTCCAGTCAAAAACTTGAATTTTACAAAGAATCTAAGCAGCAGGCTCTGTCTAACATGGTAGGTAGTTCTGCTTCTACGATTATCATCCTCACAGAAATATTATTGAATTAAAAGTTTGGTTTCATCAGAAATCCCACTAAAGCCTCCAAGCTACCAATGACTGAAAGCAGATGGAGGAAATGACTCAATAAACTTTTAATCAGATGAAGGGAAAATAGAACTTAGTGTCTGTTTTATTAAGTGGTGCATTTGGAGAATAATCACAAAATGAGATGAATGGTGAGCAGCTATCTAGTAATGTGAAGGTAACACTTTAAATTAAGGTGCCATTTATAAATGCTTTGTTCTTATTTATGAAATGATCGCTAAATGCAGCTACTTGCTCAAATAACGTATTATAAAGTATGTTATAAAATGCATTAGTAATAAATGCTTAACGGATGAGACTATGGGAAGCTGTTTTAAAGAATATTATAAGACGTAAATCCTATTAAACCATGTATGTGCATCTTTAATACATGAATTTAAGTTGTTATCTAGCATGGTATAAAGTGCTTCATACATTAATAAATAATAATAAACTGTTTATAAATGGCACCTCAATATAGGGTGTTACCAATGAGGAAACACTCTAAGTTAACAAAGTGATTTTCTATCTTAGTCTAACTGCGATATTCACTACATCCAGCTAACCTTTCTGAGTATTTCTGACTCCGTTTAATGGAGCTAATACAATTTCTGTATCCTGTAGTTATTACATAAAGTGAAATTTGTAGGGTTTCTCTGTTGTACCTGGAGGAGGGCCTCACATATGCCCACAGAGATTTGACAGTGACATTAAGTAGGAGCAATTCTGAGGTAGTTACTGGGGCAATTGGAGCTCAAAACCTTGCTGCCTTGAGCTCCAGAGCTGCCACACCATGAAGGAGACAGTGGGCAGGCAGCATGTCTGACAGCCTCCTGATTAGGAAGGACGCCGGGCAGGAACCAACCTGCCATACCCCATCGGCCTGATGGGCGGCAGGGAAGGGGGTCTCCTGGCAGGAGTTAACCACAATGAACTAATTTGTATTTGGCAGGTAATAAAACGGTGGCAAGTTCTTTGCTTTCCAGCCACTAGTCGAGTTTGCTATGTAATCCTCTTTAAATAGGAAATAGAAAATCATTTGCTAGGAGATGTTTGTTTGTTTGTTTTCAAATAGAAGAACAAAAGGTAGCATTTGGCTTGTTCCTGATAATTGCAATAGTCTTTATCCCCAAGTGGCTTGCTGATTTTGGAGTCTCCGTGCGGTCCAATCCATAAACTAATTATAAATAAATTAAAAATACATCTCAATCCTTTGTATTTTTAATTTAAACTGCCTTAGAAATTTGTTCTAGCCTTTTGTTTTGTTTTTATTTGGGGGCTACAGTAAGGTTGAGATAATCTTTTTAAGAAAAATAAAGTACCCCTAAGGGCTAGGCACAAAACAACTCCCATCCACTCACGGGTCCTTTGTCTTCCCTTTGAATGAGTTCTAAAGGGGGAGTCAGGAAAAGGAGGAAAAGTCGCTTGCCCGGCAAGTTTGGCTGCTGAGAAGATGATCTTCCTCCTGCTGGGTGAGAAGAATTCCACTGGAGCAGCGTTTGTGTGAATGTTCTGGGAGAATGGGAGAGATTAGATTCCAAATTAAAGCATTCACTTTATTTTTATTTTATTATTTTAATCTCCTCGTCCCAGGACCCAGAGACACAATTATCAGCTGTTTAATTTTATACAAGTGAAAGAAAACTCTTTTTTAGATTGTAGGCAAACCTTTCAAGACAGCTCACTAATTGCCTGCCTCCAGTTCAACCTTCAGATTTGTAAATTGACAATAGATTTTACTTCTAGAAGAAATTCGTTAACGTTTTTTGGCAGTCCCCATTTATTACTTCTGGCCCCATTTTCAATGCTCTTATGGTTTCTCCCAGGCACTCATCTTCAAAGTGAATTCAGGGCAGGAACTAACTGTGTTTTGCGGTAATGGGGAAGAGAATTACAGATTCATGTTTGTACTGCATGAATTGTCGTGCTAGTCAACTTCTTGGATACATTTCTAACCAAGTATTAAAGGCCTAGTGGGATAGCCCACATTTACCAATTCCAGTCTCAGAGAAACGATACGATGATTGCCAGGCCTTGATTAAAGATGCTGTGGTTTTATTTTGAAAGAGATTTATGCTCAAGTTTCTGAATTTCCCTTGCACCCCCTTACACATGTCCTGGTATTGTTCATTGTGCTTCTGGGAAAAAGTCTGTCCTTTCCTCCAAGGGGTCAGTAGAAACTGACTGAGTAGTACAGAATGTGGTTTAAAGAGTAAATGGCATTTTAATCTTTATAGGAATGATCTTTGAATGTTAATGTGGTGGTAAGACAAAGCAGCAAAGTAGCTAGGAGCAGGGCTTTGAAGTTCAACCACAGGGCACTTCATTCCAGTTTTGCTGTTTAGGAGCTGACAAAGTTATTCAACTACTTTGAGCTTCAGAATCCTCATCTGTAAAATGGGGATACTGATATCTGCCCAGAGAATCAATCGAGAATGAAATTAGTTAATAAAAGAAAAAAAAAGTAATAGCAATAAGTTAATTATTATAGTCTAATATACTCTATCAAAATATATAAATATATTCTATAGCATGTAATACAGGGCATAATAGAATTATAATTATTTTTACAGCATATTAGTTTTGCACTTGAACTGATACAGACATGTGTAGAAGAGAAAATACATTGATTCAAGGAACACCAGCATATATGGTCTCCAAAAAGAGAACTGTGTATCCATAGGCAGCATAAATGTTGGGTCTAAGCACTGAATAATTCTGAAAGGGAAGCCATCGCTCCATCTGGGGCTCTAGATGTATCTCTTTCATGACCATATACATTTTCCTGGGGCCCTCATCCTCTTCCACTGGCCCTTACCCTGTGACGTTCACATTTAATACGGCCTGATCCCACATTCCATGTTTGACTATCTTTCCTTCTCACTGAAATTCTTTCGATTTTCAGCCACGTCAGATTTCTATCAAAAGCAGCCCCCTCCTGGAACTAGACACAGAATCATTTCACCGGTGTGTGTAAATTAGAGGTTCATAGGCTTTGGGTCCTCAGTGACCTCCTATTCAAGGAAAAAGAGGACTGACTCATTCTGTTTTGTTTGTTTGTTTTTAGTGAGGACATTTCAGAGTAACCTACCACTTACTACCACTGTCACTTTCTAACAGAAAGGGCATCATAAAATATCCCAGTCCCACATCTAGATAGGATAAAACCTCAGAATGCAATGCAGTAGTCTTTACCAAAATGGGAAACTATACCCTTCTATGTCTATATACATTGTTTCTATTTTGTTCACTTCACCTTGGAACAGAGAAAGTTTGGTCTAGACTGGCCGGTCCTCCTGCGTAAAGGAGCATTTGAAAACCAGTGGTGTCACTACTGGATTTCCTGGATTATGAAGGAAAAGGTGATGCTCATATTCTCATCGTTTTTTACATATTTTGATTTGTAACTTACTTTAAATGTTGAAAATATTGTCATTGGAAAATAGTGCAGAAACCATTTTTAGTAAAATGTATAATAGATATGTATATTTTAAAAGTTATTAATCAAACTCCTATATAACCACCGCCCAAGTCAAGACTCTGTCAGCCCTCTAGAAGCCTCACCCCCTGCCGTTTGTCCCTATGTCATCCAGCTTCTTCCCTTGCCACAGAGTTCAATGCATTTTAGTTATTATTTTATAACCTTTCATGATTTTCCCACCTGTATCTATAGCCCTTAAGAAATGTAGTTTACTTTCTCTGGTTTTGAATTTATATAAATTGAAACACAGTGTATGCTTCTTTTGTTTCTTGCCTCTTTCTCTAAATATGCTTTTTCTTTTCATTTTTTTCTTCCATATTTTTTTTGCACTGGTTTAAGTGATGCCTTTTGTTTCTATTTTGTTAGTGGCTTGTTTAGGATTATAGCATTGATACTTATCAAAGCCTAAAGCTAATCAAATCTTTTACCCTCTTCCAAAATATTACCTTAGAATATTTTTTTTAAAGATTTTATTTATTTGACAGAGAGAGACACAGGGAGAGAGGGAACACAAGCAGGGGGAGTGGGAGAGGGAGAAGCAGGCTTCCCGCAGAGCAGGGAGCCCAATGCGGGGCTCGATCCCAGGACCCTGGGATCATGACCTGAGCCGAAGGCAGACGCTTAATGACTGAGCCACCCAGGCGCCCCACCTTAGAGTATTTTTAATCCATGTACCCTCTTCCCAGCATAGATGCTATTGTTGTCTGATATTTTAATTCTTTCTTTTCAACACCACCAGACAGTATTTTTTTTTTTTTTTTTTTTTTGTAGAGTCAGTGTTGGTTTAATATTTGCCATGTTCTTTGCCATTTACTTCTTCCTTCATTTTCTAGGAAGGTCTTTTTCTTTTGTTGGAAGTATATTCTGAGAAATTCCTGTAGTAAAGGTCTTACAGTAACAACATATCTCAGTGTCTGCTTGTTTCAAATGTCTCTATTTCTCCCTCATTCTGGAAATATATATATATTCTCTCTGGATATAGAATTTTGAGTTGGCAGTTGCTTTCTTTCAGCACATCAAAAATGTTATTCCACTATTTTCTGTCATCTATTGTTGTGATCAAGAAGTTACCTTAGTTTAACTGCTGTTATCTGGCTGCTCATAATATATTTATCATTACCTTTGTTTTTCCACAGTTTCATTCTTCCTACCTGGACTGTTGCCTTGAAATTGTTTATAACTGTCACTTAAGTATTTTAGAAATTATCTTATTATTATCTTATTATTTTGCTATTATCTTCTCAAATGAAGCTTCTTTTAAATTTTCTCTTATCTTTTTTTTAAGTCTCTGGTTAAACCTACGTTGTCTTGTTAATCTATTCTCCACATTTTACATTCTTTTTAAAATCTTTTTTGTCTTTCTGAACTGCATTCCAAACCATTTCTCTTGGTTTATCTTCCATTCTTTAATTCAATCTCCCTTTGTGATAAACATCTTTATTTCAATTA